GCTGCTCGAGAAGACCAAGACGAAAGTGGAAGCTTTCCTGCGAGCACCCCCAGAGATGAGGAAGACGCTTCGCTCCCAAGCATGGAAGCGGTGCAAGAGCAAACTGGAGGAGCTCAACTTTGAGTTCAGCACTCGTCCACTGCCCGAAATGCACCCAGGCAAATTCGAGAAGGATCTCAAGGATGGCTTCACCTATGCGGAGGCCAAACAACGCCAAAAGGGCCGGCAACGGGCCGCCCGACATCAGCGAGCCTTGGCTGAAATGGAGGGTGCCTCCTTTGAGGATTTCCCGAAATCCTGGTCACATGGGTATTCCAAGCAAGTCCTGAAGCCGGGTTTCCTCGAAGAGAAGAACAAGGAGCGGGCCCGCCGAAAAGCTACAAAGGCCAACTATCGATCCGATAGATCACGCAGCACTCCACCACCTCGCCAGTCAGCTGCTCCAGCTGCTGCATCCAACCAGGCTGAAGCTGAAAGCACGGCCAACTGGGAAGCAGGAAGTCAATGGCACGACTGGCAAGCGAGACGCAGCAGTGAGTGGCAACGGCATCAACCAGATGTCACACAACGGAGAGATGCAAATGCCGCAGACGATGACGACTGGGGCAACTGGACCAGAGATGGGCAACGAGGCAGCAACCAAGATGGCTGGTCCAGCTATGACTATGGAAACCATCAGGATCGACAGTGGAACCAGTGAGACTTTGCCGTGGCAATTCTGCATTCATCCGTGTTCCATGGAGGCTTCAACGTACAGGTTGCCTACTGAGAGCCGGGGAATGTCTGAGGCAGCCTTGATTCTTTGTTTCACGGTCGATACCATGTGGGTTTTCTTTTGCATGTCCATTGTAGATTTTTATTTGGCGGATGCCCATGCCTATTTCGGGGGGATATGCCGCTGACAGAATGTCGGCTGGCAAGTCTCTCTGGGTGAGTGGTTTGTACAGAGACTGCACCACTCGTCACAGACAAAAATAGGAGTCGTGAGCGCTCCGCTTGTTTTGGTAGCATGTCTCTAGCTAACTTGGATGTTCACTAGAACGGAGGGTTAGCGTGTTTTGCTACTGTCATTTTGGGCTCAAGTCTTTGCCCATTTTGATTGTTGGCCCTCCCACCCACCCGGGGGGATATGCCGCTGACAGAATGTCGGCTGGCAAGTCTCTCTGGGTGAGTGGTTTGTACAGAGACTGCACCACTCGTCACAGACAAAAATAGGAGTCGTGAGCGCTCCGCTTGTTTTGGTAGCATGTCTCTAGCTAACATTACCATTACCATGCGATCCCGCTTTTCCCGGCTATGCCATGCGACAGGGCGCGCTTGAAGTGGAGTTGGGGCAGCTCAGAGGGACCACATGACCACTAGCTTTGCACTGTATTGAGATTGCTGAGCAATGTGGTAAATCCATTGTAAATCCAATCATAAACTCCAGTAAATCAATTCCCAGTTGACTCTACTTCTGTGCAGTGAGTGCAGCAAACTGAAATGCATGATATCACCATTTCTGTTTGTTTGAACCACATTTTTGGTGGGTCCAAAAAAAACTTGTTGCTCCTTGCTCTCCATTTATCACCCTCTGAACAGATCATAAACGTCCTATCTTTTTTGCGACATTGCTATATTGGCTTAAGGCCAAATACTCACACATTTGTGGGTTCTACAGTTCTACACCATTCTCTTTGCAAACAAATGCTATGAAATGGTATGAAATGGTATAAAGTTCCCATCATATCTGGGGTCTAGGGGCTGGACCCTGGTGGTTCATCGAGGCTTACTGCCAGGCCAAAGAGAAGCTTGGGCAAAGCCAAGGCACCAGCTTTTCGGAATTTTTGATGGGTTTTTCAGAAGCAGAAATTGGAATGTCACCAGAAACGGGGGAATCAACTAACGAGAAACTAGAGATTTGACATGATTGGACTGATTTGAGAAGCCTGGTGGATTGAACCAACCTCACATGTGATTCCGACAAACCAACGTGGGGGATTGAACCAACAACCCTGGAGATTTCACCAAAAAACATGGTGGAAGTCGCCCAACCCTGCAGGCTTCACCCGCCTCTTCGCGAGCATAGGCCTCAGTGTGTCTCTGGTCCATCAGCCATTCATCACTTAAGTTGGTAAAGATAAAGATCAGAGGGGGTACTCTTGTCCCAAATAAAGATAAACAATCGAAACTTTGGCGGACATAAATGTTTGTCCATGTCTTAAATGCTGGGGAACCATGAATGAAGCACTTATTTCAAAAGGTTCCCCGTTATTTTTGTAGATATCGCAGCTGAAAAACTTGAGGTGATGACCCCAGGCCTGGATCCAGAGGAGAACCTTGGTGCCACGCCACCAAGACCTCCCAGGGTGGCTTAGCTGCACAGCATGGCATAGCATGGCTGGGTGGCTCCAAAAGTCAACAGTACTTTTTGGGCACATTTTCTCAACACCACTTTTTTGTGACCAAATTCAATTTTCTAGTTCTTGAAGGGAGTGGTTGGTGGAGAACCCCTTTGAACACCGACCATACAGGACTTTTCTTTCAGAAGAGAAGACGACAGACAAGTCGTTCCTTGTTTTCAAGGCTTGGGGCGGGAGAGGCCACAGGACACCGACTCTTGGCACCAACACAACACCACTAGTTCTTCGAAAGAGATGTTCGATGGACACTCGCCCTCTCACTTTGTTTTGGTTTTGAACGTGCTTTAACCATTTTAAGACCCGATCTCTATGGGTCCTTCAAAGATACATTAAAATACATTGATAGATCGTTGTCGGATGGACAACCACTGGGCCATCTTCTCCACTTCCTCCCATTGATTCGTGGATAACAACAGTAGACAACATCCGTAAGGACACACTGGACACACTCGTGTTTTCACAAAAGCCGTCGTGTCTTTTGACTGCGCCGAGGCACAACCTTCGGAGCCGGCTGGGTCACCTCCGCGCTCCAGAGTGTCTGAAGGACGAAAACAGTTTAAACAGTCTGCCCAGAGGGGAAATGCGACTGACACGCCTCATTCACTTTTTTTGCAAAGAGGTTAAAGAGGATGTCTGGGAGCAATATCACTACTGTGGAGCAAGGAACGTTGATTCAGATCTCATTCAATGACCTATTGACTGCTCCTATTCTGCTGCCCCAGGAGCGCAATCAGAGTTCGGGTACCAAGAATTTCGATCCGGTCAATCGGCCAATCGGCCAATGTTTTGTTTTGTGCTACACAGCTCCTGACACAGCTCCTGCTTCGCTAAGGTTGGCCCATCCACAACCTAGTCGAGCCTCCGAGCACGGCAGCCAAGGGCAGTCCAAGCAAGGTGGATGTCTGAAAGAGATAGCAAGAGGAGGCTATATAATGGAGGTTGAGACATAGATCACCCGGAAATCTCCTTGATATACATTGATATACTTGATGGTAGCTCCTACCATTCTTGCTTTTTGAAGCTCGGATTGTGCAAGGGATAGCGCAGATAACCAAAAAACATTGCAACTTAGTTCAACACGGTAGGTAGGTTCGCAAAAAGGCGGACAAATCCGTAGCCTGGTTGATTTGCATGGCAGAGATTATCTCGTTCGAATCAACAGCAGACCAACTGACGTACCAGTTTTGAATTCAGTGCTTCGTTTGCCATAGCAGAACCACTTTCATGATCTTTCATGATCCATTCTGATTCATGATCATCAAGTAAGCCAGCTTGAAGCGCTCTGCGCCACCGCGGGTGTGGCAAGGAAAAGTGGAAGCGCCTCTCGTTTGGTCCGGCACACATTTCCTGTTGTTGCAGAGTCCAGCGTGTAACCTCACATCTTGGACGTCTGCTTTGTAGTTTGAAAGAGTTTCTTGCAAAGGGAGACTGCAAGGCACTATATAACAGCCAGCAAAACACACATATAATAATATATACATGTTGGGCAATGTTGGGATGGTTCGGGATGTGAAGCCACTATGGAAGACAGACAGTAGATTTAGTGGATTTATGTCAATTTATGTCTGATCAAAAAACTGATCTCTGCCGCTTCAGGTGCCGCCCAGTGGACCAAAGGCTGTCCATCAGGCCCAGCTGATGTTCCGCTAGCAAGATTCTCTTGACGATCAACGAGAGATCGCCGAAGTCGAACACAAATTACATATCTTTGGACCAAAAAATGAAATATGTTTCTGTCTGGAGGAAAGTCAAGAGATCAGCTTCAGGTATTGTAAAACTCTCAAAGCTGTTCTGCAACTAATTCCTTCCAAGCTTTGAATCCGATTAATCGGTAAAGGCTGACAGGCTTCAATCTCTATTTTTCCCTCGGCTACCAGTAGGACTGAAGGTGGTCTGCGGGCGCAGAGAGGTGATGATTCGAAATATTTTCTACCCTCATCCCTGGAATGATGATCCCACTTGACTCATATTTGCCGGGCTGGTCGGACACACCAGTCAGTTGAAGGCACCCGCAAAGGCTGGGCCGGTTTGGAGATCCAGTGATGGATTGGTTCTGTGGGGATGATATCATGGATGGTTCACACACTACCCATCTGATATCATCTGATTGAGGATAGGCAGAAGTGATTTGGTGATTTTTACTGCTTCTCTTTTGACAAGATCGGTGCAGACATGCATTTTACCGTTGGATTCTCACAGGGGTGGATTGGATCTCTGCTATACAAGGATATATTTGCATGAACATTTATACATTTCGTGAACTTTATACAATACGTTTTTTCTTAGTGGTCGGTTTTTATTTGCAGTAATGGTATCGTAATGTTACCATTAATGTGTGTATTCATCGAGGCACACCTGGCAAATCATTGCAGAGTCACTGGTGCTCCACTAGAACTTTGGTGGTTAGGAGCTCCCATGAAGCCTTAGCATTTCTGAAATTGTCTGAATGCCGATGTGAGGCTGTAAAGTCTGCCGGTTCAAGTGCGGCGCAATTTGTTCACGCTTCGAAACAGAACACTTTCATGTGAGAATCATGATCCGTGGTGCTGGAAGGCAGCTGGCCTCATTTTCATTGGGACATCAAGAGCCTGCCTTTGGATGGAAGAGCCAGGAAATCTCGTGGGAGTTCGTAAGGGACAATGGCAACTGGCCCTGTCGGCTCTGCGTAATGCTGAAGTGAAGCGCAGGGAACGAGATGTCATCGGTTTCAACGCAGCCATCAACGTCTGTCAATTGGTCGAGTTTTACTATATAGACTTGTTGAGGGTTTTAATTTTTCAAACAAGTTTTATATTTGGTCCATGATGATGATGGCCCCCAACATTCACTAACTAATATTCTCGGATGGGTTGAATGTCCACGAATTGTTTCTCAGAACAGATACTATATATTATATATTATATATATACAATTATATACACATACATGTGTGAATTTATGACTTTCGACGTTACTGCTGTGACATAGAAGTCTTTCATCCTCCATGGATTTTCAGGATAACTGGTTCGAGGATCACAGTTTTTGGCCAGCCTGTCTTGGATTTGTGGCCTTTGACGCAGTCCTGCTGAGGTAGGAAGGCCAAATGGCAGCACGCTTGGGGCTGCTTTCAGGAGGCTCAGGGAAGTGACATGAAGTTAGATGTTGTGACCTACAGCGTCACCATCAGTGCAGCAGCCGCTGCAGCCCAATGGCAACATGCCAGTGCACTCTTACATGAATTGAGAGGATGCTTGGTCAAACTAATTCGTAGACGTCGTAGACTTCAAATGCAACCTTCAACCTTTGTTCAGAAGTTGGAATATCAATTTGAGATTGTCGGCAGGTGGAATGTTTTGAAGTCTTGACATTTATAATACATTTATATAATTTAGAGATATTCAAAGATATTCAAAGTCTATTGCACATAAAGGTATGAAGTCGCTGGAAGTGAGCTTGGCCAGCTATGTATTTTCTTCTCATGTTGTGTTCAGGAACTTCGACCCTGCAGTGAAATCCAATTCAGCACAGGAACTATGCAGTTCGGGTACTCCCAAACCTTCTCCCTTCAGGCTATCTCCACTGCATTTCATATGCATGGAATCCATTGCAGCTTGTTTTCAGTTTTTTGTTTTTGCATGTTTTTGGTTTCCTACTTGTCACTGAGATGGTTATGGAGTCCTATGCATTGCTGTGCTTGTTGAGCAAGAGCCACTACATCAGGGGTTCCACTGGTCGATCCACCACCTGAGGATGCCAACTCCAGGCTGACGTGATCGTTTACAGTGCAGTCGCCAGTGCCTGTGAAAAGGCATCAGAATGGCAGCAAGCTCTCCAACTCCTAGACGAGCTTGAGGGCGTTCAGCTGGAGATAGATGTTGTGATGCAAAACATAGCAACTTGCACAGGTAAACGTGATGTTAATGTAGATCAACGGAAACATCCCCGCATGTCATTGACAAAAGCTCAGATAAGTAAACACTGTATCTTCATGATATAAATGATGTATTTTGATCTCTTTCTAAGGGCGGGATCTGTTCGATGATGACTTGGTATAACTTGGTTTTGTCACGTTTTCACCATCAAGTTTTCTGGGTCTATGATGTTTCTATGATGTTTAGTCATCAGGTGATGGCTGCCTGTGGGAATGCCAAGCAGTGGACGAAAGCCCTGGAAATCCTCAGTCTGATCGAAACTGGCAACGAGTTGGATGATGTGTCGTTGGGCAGTGCGATGGATGCCTGTCAGAATTCCTCTCAATGGGAAGTCGCCTTGCTGCTCCTCGTGGATTTTAAAGGGAGCAAGCTGCAAACAACGGCCATTACGCAAAACGCAACCATTAGCAGCTGCGGAAAAGCAAAAGAATGGACATTTGCGCTGGCTTTGTTGCAGGACCTTAGACTTGATGCTGACGTGATCAGCTACAACTCTACAATCAGTTCCTGTGAGAAGGCATCGGAATATCAACCAGCTGTGTGGCTGTTTGATGAGCTGCGGGTGGGACTTGAAGCCACGGTGGTCACCTACAGTGCCATCATCAGTGCTTGTGAAAAAGCCAGTGAATGGCAGACAGCACTTCACTTCCTGAGTGAGTCGACATCTCAGCGCCTCAGCAACCTGATCACATTCAACGCGGCAATCAGTGCATGCGAGAAATCCGCAGAGGTGAATATGGCTTTAGCATTGGTGAAGCAGCTTCAGAGTTTCCACTTGGAAGGAGATGTTGTCACTTTCAGCGCGTCCATTGGAGCGTGTGACCGTGCATCTAAGTGGCAAGATGCGTTAGGACTCTACTTCGAGGCAGGCCGGAGTCATGTGGAAATTGGTGTGGTTGGCTGCACTTCAACCATCAACGCTTGCGAGAAGGTGGCACAGTGGCATCAGGCACTTCTGGTATTTCCACTCCATTTCGATGTGACTCGAGTTGCCAACGCCAGCATTAGTGCTTGTGAAAAAGCGAGCCGTTGGCAGGTGGCACTGTGCCTACTTGACGAGGTCAAATTCGTGGAGTTCCTTGAGCCGGATGTTGTGACCTACAGCGCTATCATGTCCGCTTTGCAGAAGGCAGGTACAGATGCGATTGTAGAACTCCACAAAGTAAGTGCACACTCAAATGGTGCTGGAGAAGACGCAATGGACTCGCTGGACTGCAAGGTTGTATTCCCTTCCTTCATTATTGTTATATATTGTTATTATAAATACTATTTCCTTTGGCAAGTATCCTTGCAAGCTGGACACTGTGGTTTGTCATGTTTCTTGATGCTTGGGGACGATCGGTTCTTTTGTGACGGCTGGTGTGCTTCAAGAGAGGTCTCAATTCCGGTTCTCAGGCAATTAGGAGAGCTGATGATAATTTGGGATATGCTTAACTCCTTGACCCACACAGGGCCGCTTGACCTTGCCAGGCATTGCAGTGGGTTCTTGCTCTGCACTTGTTGAACCATATGAAAGGATTATTTGTGCAACCTGATGCAATCACCATTGATGCTTTGGTTTCAATGTGTCAACTGGCACAGAAAGATTTGATCGTACAGAGGCATTTAGGAGACTTGCACCAGATCTACGCTGATCAGAAAATCTGGAATTCACTTATTTAGATGCCCAAATTAAGCTTCAACCTGAAATCCGACAAACTGTACAGCTGCCCTTCAGGTTCCATGCTTAAGCTGCATGTGAACGTTTTGTAAAGGGTATGGGTGCTGATGCACTTGGAAAGCCGTTCAAGTGCTAGGCAGCATGCTGCTGTGCCTTGTAGTGTTTTTTTCAACCTTCCACAGAGAGCTTCAGAAGTGCCTCGCAAGAACTGCTCTGGAAAAAACGACGGTAACGACGGTAACGACGGTAACGACATCTGCCGACTGTCACGCTGACTGTCACGCTTCAGGATTCTTTGGATTCTTCTTTTCTGCTTAGAGTTCCTCGTTCCTCCACCGCCCATTCTTTCTGCTGGATTTAGCTGTTTTCCACAGCCAGGCAGCTTCTGTGGCCTCTGGGAGCTCGCATGGGCAGGCAGGGAATCTTCCAACATGTCAGTGGACAATACCTCATGTATAGAGGATTTTCAGGTTGAACTTGTGGATTCTCAAATGTTTGTTTACTCTGTTAGCAGATGCCATTGACTGAGACAGTTTTTGGCTCAGGAGCCAAGGAATTCCGACAACTCAACTGGATGGATGGGATAAAGATCTAGGAATTCTCCTGCATGCAGATGTGATGATACACTGAGGGGCCTGCTCCGGCTACAAAAGGTGCAGCTCAGGCCAGTCACCGAATGGCAGCTGTGGTTTGAATGCCAAGAGTACCCCCTCAGATGCTGGTGCCTTTTACCACTTCCATTGCTACAACCTTAGCACCCGACCAAATACAAAATCTGACAGGCCAGAACTGATGCCTATGGAATGTCGCGGCCTCAGATCGTCCCTGTTTTTAAGTAGCCTGAAGAGCCAGCAACCCACGCATCCAAACGGATTCCGCTCGAGGCCAGCAGAACGCCCACGCATGCCTGAGGACTCTCAGGTCCGTGAAGTTTCCTGTGATCTTCGTGAAATTTTGATGTGCGTGGTGAGAAGATGGATGAGAATGCTTCCTAAAGTATTTGGGTGTCAGATTAGTCCCCTCATTCACTCCAGAGCACCCGCATGCACCCGCCATGATTTGCCAAAGCTACCTCTTTTTGACTAGTTCCGATCAAGGTCTTCTTTTTTTCCCGAGAGCGCCTGCGAAGGGTTCTTCGTAAAAAAGCAGCCGTTATACTAGATCTTCACACCTTCACACCTGCAGATCTAGATCTTCACACTCTCACATCTGCCGATCTACATCTTCACACCTTCACATCTGCAGATCTAGATCTTCACACCCTCACATCTGCAGATCTAGATATTCACACCTTCACACCTGCAGATCTAGATCTTCACACTCTCACATCTGCCGATCTACATCTTCACACCTTCACATCTGCTGATCTACATCTTCACACCTTCACACCTGCAAATCTAGATCTTCACATCCTCACATCTGCAGATTTAGATCTTCACACCCTCACATCTGCAGATCTACATCTTCACACCTTCACACCTGCAGATCTAGATCTTCACACCCTCACACCTGCAGATCTAGATCTTCACACCCTCACATCTGCAGATCTAGATCTTCACATCCTCACACCTGCAGATCTAGATCTTCACACCCTCACATCTGCAGATCTTCACCCCCTCACATCTGCAGATCTTCACACCTCACATCTGCAGATCTACATCTTCACACCTTCACACCTGCAGATCTAGATCTTCACACCCTCACACCTGCAGATCTAGATCTTCACACCTTCACATCTGCAGATCTCCTCTCGCTCTTCTTCTATTCTCTCTTAAGGCGGGGGCGGTGCCGCCGGAGCGCCACGAAACGCAACCCTTTCGCACGAAATGGACGTTGGACGTCCAAAACCTAGGTAAAATTGCGATTTTGAAGCGTCGCCGGCAACCCTTTCACACGAAATGGACGTTGGACGCCAAAAACTGAGGAAAAATTGCAACTTTTATTGGTCGCGCGCAACCCTTTCGCACGAAATGGACGTTGGACGTCAAAAACTGAGGAAAAATTGCAACTTTTATTGGTCGCGCGCAACCCTTTCGCACGAAATGCACGTTGGACGTTAAAAACTGAGGAAAAATTGCGACTTTGAAGCGTCCCGCGCAACCCTTACGCACGAAATGGACGTTGGACGTCAAAAACTGAGGAAAAAATGCGACTTTGAGTTGTCAATCGCAACCCTTACGCACGAAATGGACGTTGGACGTTAAAAACTGAGGAAAAATTGCGACTTTGAAGTGTCCCGCGCAACCCTTACGCACGAAATGGACGTTGGACGTCAAAAACTGAGGAAAAATTGCGACTTTGAGTTGTCAATCGCAACCCTTACGCACGAAATGGACGTTGGACGTTAAAAACTGAGGAAAAATTGCGACTTTACTTTGTCAATCGCAACCCTTACACACGAAATGGACGTTGGACGTCAAAAACTGAGGAAAAATTGCGATTTTACTGTGTGTAAAAGCTTCTGTGTGTAAAAGCGTCTGTGTGTAAAAGCGTCTGTGTGTAAAAGCTTCTGTGTGTAAAAGCGTCTGTGTGTAAAAGCGTCTGTGTGTAAAAGCGTCTGCGTGTAAAAGTCTCTGTGTGTAAAAGCGTCTGTGTGTAAAAGCGTTTGTGTGTAAAAGCGTCTGTGTGTAAAAGCGCCTGTGTGTAAAAGCTTCTGTGTGTAAAAGCGTCTGTGTAAAAGCGTCTGTGTGTAAAAGCGCCTGTGTGTAAAAGCTTCTGTGTGTAAAAGCCTCTGTGTGTGAAAGTGTTGTGTGTAAAAAGTTCTGTGTGTAAAAGCTTCTGTGTGTAAAAGCGTTTGTGTGTAAAAGCGTCTGTGTGTAAAAGCGTCTGTGTGTAAAAGCTTCTGTGTGTAAAAGCGTCTGTGTGTAAAAGCGTCTGTGTGTAAAAGCGCCTGTGTGTAAAAGTCTCTGTGTGCAAAAGCATCTGTGTGTAAAAGCGTCTGTGTGTAAAAGAGTCTGTATGTAAAAGGGTCTGTGTGTAAAGCGTCTGTGTGTAAAAGGGTCTGTGTGTAAAGCGTCTGTGTGTAAAAGTGTTTGTGTGTAAAAGCTTCTGCGTGTAAAAGCGTCTGTGTGTAAAAGCGTCTGTGTGTAAAAGCGTCTGTGTGTAAAAGCGTCTGTGTGTAAAAGCGTCTGTGTGTAAAAGCGTCTGTGTGTAAAAGCGGCTGTGTGTAAAAGCGGCTGTGTGTAAAAGCGGCTGTGTGTAAAAGCGGCTGTGTGTAAAAGCGTCTGTGTGTAAAAGCGTCTGTGTGTAAAAGCGTCTGTGTGTAAAAGCGTCTGTGTCTAAAAGTCTCTGTGTGTAAAAGCGTCTGTGTGTAAAAGCTTCTGTGTGTAAAAGCGTCTGTGTGTAAAAGCTTCTGTGTGAAAGTGTCTGTATGTAAAAGCGACTGTGTGTAAAAGCGTCTGTGTGTAAAAGTGTTTGTGTGTAAAAGTGTTTGTGTGTAAAAGCGTCTGTGTCTAAAAGCTTCTGTGTGTAAAAGCGTCTGTGTGTAAAAGCTTCTGTGTGTAAAAGTGTCTGTGTGTCAAAGCGGCTGTGTGTGAAAGCGTCTGTGTGTAAAAGCGTCTGTTGTGTAAAAGCGTCCTGTGTGTAAAGCGTCTGTGTGTAAAAGCGTCTGTTTGTAAAAGCGTCTGGGTGTAAAAGCGTCTGTGTGTAAAAGCGCCTGTGTGTAAAGCTTCTGTGTGTAAAAGCCTCGGTGTTAAAGCTTCTGTGTGTAAAAGCCTCTGTGTGTGAAAGTGTTGTGTGTAAAAGCGTCTGTGTGGTAAAAGCGTCTGTGTGTAAAAGCGTCTGTGTGTAAAAGGTCTGTGTGTCAAAGCGGCTTGTGTGAAAGTGTCTGTATGTAAAAGCGCTGTGTGTAAAGCGTCGTGTTTAAAAGTGTTTGTGTGTAAAAAAAGTGTTTGTGGTTAAAAGCGTCTGTGTCTAAAGCTTCTGTGTGTAAAAGCGTCTGTGGGTACAAGCTCTGTGTGTACAAGTGTTCTGTGTTAAAGGGGTCTGTGTGTAAAAGCGTCTGTGTGTAAAGGAGTCTGTGTGTAAAAGCTTCTGTGTGTAAAAGCTTCTGTGTGTAAAAGCGTTTGTGTGTAAAAGCCTCTGTGTGTAAAAGCGGTGTGTAAAAGCTTCTGTGTGTAAAAGCGTCTGTGTGTAAAAGCGTCTGTGTGTAAAAGTGTTTGTGTGTAAAAGCTTCTGCGTGTAAAAGCGTCTGTGTGTAAAAGCGTCTGTGTGTAAAAGCGTCTGTGTGTAAAAGCGTCTGAATGTAAAAGCGTCTGTGTGTAAAAGCGTCTGTGTGTAAAAGCGTCTGCGTGTAAAAGTCTCTGTGTGTAAAAGCTTCTGTGTGTAAAAGCGTCTGCGTGTAAAAGTCTCTGTGTGTAAAAGCGTTTGTGTGTAAAAGCGTTTGTGTGTAAAAGCGTCTGTGTGTAAAAGCGTCTGTGTGTAAAATCGTCTGTATGTAAAAGGGTCTCTGTGTAAAAGCGTCTGTGTGTAAAAGCGTTTGTGTGTAAAAGTCTCTCTGTAGAAGCGTCTGTGTGTAAAAGCTCCTGTGTGTAAGAGTGTTTGTGTGTAAAAGTGTTTGTGTGTAAAAGTGTTTGTGTGGAAAAGGGTTTGTATGTAAAAGCGTCTGTGTGTAAAAGCTTCTGTGTGTAAAAGTCTCTGTGTGTAAAAGTGTTTGTGTGTAAAAGTGTTTGTGTGTAAAAGCGTCTGTGTGTAAAAGCGTCTGTGTGTAAAAGCGTCTGTGTGTAAAAACGTCTGTGTGTAAAAGTCTCTGTGTGTAAAAGCGTCTGTGTGTAAAAGCGTCTGTGTGTAAAAATATTTGTGTGTAAAAGTGTTGGTGTGTAAAAGTGTCTGTGTGTAAAAGCGTCTGTGTGTAAACGTGTTTGTGTGTAAAAGTCTCTGTGTGTATTTGCGTCTGTGTGTAAAAGCGTCTGTGTGTAAAAGCTCTGTGTGTAAAAGCGTCCGTGTGTAAAAGCCTCTGTGTGTATAATAAAAGCGTCTGTCTGTAAACAGTTCTGTGTGTAAAAGCGTCTGTCTGCAACTTTACGAAAGATACGATGCAAACTATTGTCTTGTACTTGTAATATATTGTTTTGAAACTACTCTTCTCGTCTGCCTATAATACATCTTCAATATATTGTCTTGTAATTTAGTGTCTCCATTCTAGCAACAGAAGACTTTGCTCGTCTACGCTCTCGGGCCATCCGTCGTCTAGTTTCGTTTCCAGGGCTTCGCTCGGCATTCTTGAGCAGGTTCGGAACCAACAAGCAGCAGCTGCATCCATCGCTGCCTTACTCGCAGAGCAGGAGGCGGCAAGAAGGCACCATTGCTGGCAGTCTTTAGAAGAAATGGCTGTATCCTCGCATTCCAGATGTTCTGAGAAAAATCTCTTGACTCTACTTGCAGCCGCAGTTATGGGCCGTGAGTAGTGAGTAGGGGAAATCTTCTGCGGATCGGCTTGGAGGCTTCCGACGCTCTCGGGGGACAGGGGACCCCCTGGTGATGGTGACGGCACACCGCCTTCACAGCGGGAGTTGAGCTTTGTGGTGGAGGGCGTCGGATCCTCAACTGGACAGCTGGTCTGAGGGGACAGGAGGCCGAGCAGCCGAGGCCACGAGTGGTCAAGGCTTTTCTGCGATGCCACCAGCGGCCAATGCGCCAGATTTGCCCCTTGGCATGTTTGTTGTTTTCTGATGGACGGGCGGGACTGGCGTTTGCTTATTATGTTTGCTTGACATCCAACGTGAGTTGGGAGAGAAAGTCATCGTGAATGCTACGGAACAGTTCTTTCGCCCGAAGAGATTCTTGATTTAAAGATCCAGCGGCAGTTGTCCTGGCTATGGGTGGCCATGGTACCCCCAAAGCTTTTGATTTGACGGCTCTAAGTCCAGAAGGATAGGTTGTCCAACTTGGAATTCGCTTCCAAAATTTTCTCAGGCTTCTTCAATTGGCCCAAGCCAAGGCCAAGGTACGAGATACGGTAGTGGTTGTGGGATAGGAGTGATGATCTCTCGTGGGGCATAGATCTTTCGGCAATTGCACTCAACCTGAGAAACTTATGTAAAAAAAGTGGACTATGTATGGGTAGCCTGAGTCAGCCATTTTTGTCAGAGAGATGATGATGATTCCAGTTCCAAGTCCTGACTGTTCAGAAAATTCCCAAATCCCAGGTACGGCATTTGGAGCTGCAATTGGAGGAGCCAACGGTTTCATCACCAACAGTTGACAGTTGTCAGCGTTTGCAAACAGTGCAGCCAAGAGATTCAGAATCGAAACCGGGTCTGTAAACAGCAGCGACACTACCATACACTACCAAAGAAATCCAAAGAATTAAGAAGCTAAGCTGGGCTTAGCTGGAAACCTGCTGATGGGTCAGATGATGTCCGATGCACTTTGCTGCTAAATCTCTGTTGCTCAAGGACTCAGAGCAACGTTGGCAACGACGTTTCGAAGATGCTAAGCGCCAGGAGGATGCCAGCCATGCACGCAGGGAGACCTGGACTTGGACCATCCTAGACCATTCTCATAAGCTTCCAAAAAAAGGATTGAGGTTTCACTGTTTCACCGCGATTTCTGGAGGAACAATGGAACAGGATGGAACAGGTGTTGTGTACTTCAGGATTGTTCGATTAGTGCTGCCCTTGCAAAAGTTCTTGCTTCTCCGACGGGCTCATCGCAAGGCTTAAGGTATGTGGATCACCAAATTCCATGTGGTGAAGCCAGTGTCCAAGGTATGGAGCTCCAATGCCAATACTTACAGTCCGAGCTGGATCGATGTAAGGTGCTTTGGTACGAACTGCGGATATTTTGACTTTGACGGTCCTTGGTCAAGCGGTTGAGGGTCGATGGAGTGGTGAATCTTGGAAATTTCCAAGATGATTGAAGAGCCCAAAACTGTCACTCCAAGATACTAGCTTGAGTGTGCACACTGAGTTTAACCGAGAGTTCGCCAAAGCGCAATGCAGGAAGTGCAAGCCAGTGAAATGCGGCACTTTTTGGAGCAAAAACGGATGCTTTCACAAGGCTCTTGGAATGCACAGTGGTTGCTTGGGAGTCCTTGACCCTCCGTCATTCCCTCTTCACAGCATAGATTCATGTCTCCAAGCTATTTGCTCAGGTGATGACAGCTACTTGTCTTCTTCATTGATCCCGTGGTCTTTGAACGCACTAGTCACCAACGGAATGCAGATACAAGTAGATTAGATACAAATAGCAAAATATCAGCGCGTCAGCCCCCCGTTGGCGGTTTCGCCCAAGATGTCACATAGCATGGCAATCCGCGGCAGTTTGACGCGGGAGGTCATCAAACCGAGAAAGAGGAGGCAGTCCGCGAGGAACGCCGCAAGGCTATGCTGTGGGACCATTGGATTTTCTGCTGGGCTTCTCCAGTGGAGGTAGGTGGTCAACTGGGCAACTTGCCTGCAGCTGCGTCCCTTGGAACGCGTGGCTACAATATTTGACCATAATCGTTTGGATTATAATATATACGACATATCATCTATATATATATATATATCTCTTATATATATATTATAATATTCTATATACAACCTCAGCATGTTTCAGCCGTCTCTTTAGCCACGTTTCTTTGAATTTGATGAAGCTGTCCTTGTGTTCAAAGCCTGAGATGCCGCAGGTGCAAATGGAGATTGACAAGGCTGCGAAACGTCGACACTCCGCCAGAGCTGAGAGTAGAGGATGCATATGGATTTATCATGATTTATTCTGACTTATCAGCTGTGGATAGCTGTGGCATTCTTTTGGGAACCTATTTCCAGCTGTTCGAAATGTATTGGGTTACTGTATATTATATTGGTTTATTATTCGATCAGTCGTTTGAGGTTCTCTATGTCCTCATCCCTTCTACCTCTGGGGTAATCCAAATGCCGCATTTTGGAGGTGAAAGCGGATCACCGCCTGGAAGTGGAGGCGGTGGCTTTTAGGGTTGTAGAGTTGTAGAGTTTCGCATCAAAGATCTATTAACTCCCATGAAACTTGCTAGCTTTGACTGTGATGTGAAATGATGTGGACGGTGTTCCAAGATGAGCATTGCTGGCTCTAGAGAGCTGACTGATGCTGATTCGAGCATGTGGGAATTAATTCTGATTGCTGTCTTAGACAATGCCAGGGTAGTGTAAAGCCTTTCCCACATTGTATATCGTTGTATTCCGCTTTCAACAATTCTTTGACATCAAAAACTACGAAGTGGCACCTCGGAACACCTTGGCACCACTGAAATCAGTAGCGCGTACTGCTCCAAGGAGTTGAAGCGCCAGAATGAACGTGCCATTGCGATTGTCAAGCAGCAAGCTGACGTGGAGGCGAGCTGAACGTCCACTGGGCTGCAGGGAAAGTCTACACGAATCGTCAGGAAAACAGGAGTGGACCTTGCTTTTTTCCCATCAAATATGGGGCAAGTCTCCAGGAATTTTACATTCTAGATACGGGAAACCCACCATTTGTAGACATTTGTAGATCATGTTAGGGAAACTTCCATAGATTTCGACTCTCATTTTGCTGATTCAGCAGGTAACCTCTGTGAATTTTCCCTTCAACCAATGGCCAGTGGCCAGTGAATCGTCAGGCCGAGAATCTTCGCCGGGCACAGACGGGGGAACACCACTTGACCAAACTCGTGGAGCAGGACCAACGCGCCAGGGCTGGGGAGGCTGCTGCCAGGGTTCAGGGTATGGTACCCATGGACCAACAACATGCCAAAAACATAAAAGAACATAAGGCAAGAAGATGCAAAATGCAAGAAGGCACTTTTAGATTCTTTTGGAATCCATTTCTTGGAGGGATAATTTTGACGGATAGCCACCTGGCCAGCCTTTCCAGTGGTCACCTGGAGGATAACTCACATCGATATTTTGTCTTGCATGCTGGGTGCCACTTAGAAAGGGGGATGAAGTGGGAGGACAGCTCCTGTAGCGCGGATAGAAGTCAGATTTGCAGATCTCGGGTTTCAGTGGTAACCAGACCATTCTTGTGCAACAGCTAAGTCCTCGGTCTGCCAAGCTGTCAAGCTTCTGACCAGCCGCGTGAGCAACTATCTGTTGTCAGAACAGGTACAAGGCTCAGTGGCCGAAGTGGAACGGCTGAGCTGGGAACTCGGAAGCATCAGAAGCTCATGACTTGAAACAATTTTGGTAAAGACATCAGGAGGCTTTTGATGTTTTTGGCAATGGGGTGGAATAGACTGTGGCCCATCGAACATGCCTCCTCTTAGCCTTCGAAAGACGTTGCACCTCTGCTTGTGAAGTGACAGTTTTCGAGGCAAGCGTGTGGATTCCGACAAGACGATGGAGTGGTGCCTCCAGCGCGATTTTGTACCACGGACCTTCCCGAGAACGCAATGTGATGGCCATGAATGCCCAGTTCTTCTTGGGTCAGAGTCTCCATTCTGGCCTTCAAAATCGACGATTCAGCCAGGTCTGTGCGGGAACGGCAGATTGAAGCCCGTGAGCGGAATGCACGAGATATGGAGGCCTGTGGTGAGAAATACATTGTGCTTCTGCAGTTTCAGATGCACATTGAACAAATTTGAAACAAAACCTAGGTTGCCCAGAGGACTAGCTTGGCATGCAAGTCAGATCCAATTTTCGCAGATCAAGCGCTGATCTCGTAGCTCAATGGATTGCCAACGTTTAGTAGAATGCACACACCCTTTCGCAGCAATAGACATTGCAAGGGTTTACAATACAAGTTCGTAGATTTTATTTTAATAGATATGGAATGATACTGTATGGATATGAATGATAATGGGTGTATACTTTATATAATTATATATTCTAAAACGCAATATAATATATTCTAACGTATTTACAGATCCCTTGACTCTCCAACGACCCTTAATTTTTGGGGTCTTTCAAGAAAAATGACATTTTTTTCCGAAAGTACTTTTTTTGAAATCAAGTACTGTTTTTTGCATGTTAGTGATGTTCACTCATGGAGGTACAGCTGAAACTGTGGAAATCAAATAAATGTGCCACATTGCCAACTTGCAACTCATTGTTGCAGGTGCCATTTTTGTTTTGGCTGCTTGAAGGTGCAGGAGCAAAGATTTCCAAACTATTGGTTCTCGTTTACGTGTTTGATGCCATGGTTTCGATCTTGCTTGCTTTGGGTTTTGGACGCGCTTTGCTCTTTCATTATTGCACGCATGAGGGTAGGTCTCAAGACTCAGTTGCGGACACGCGGGTGAATTGCTCAATTTTGGTGACAACTTGTCCTTGGAAGATTTGCCCATACAACGCAAACATGCAAAGGCCTTTTTTCTTCAAACGTACCTTTTTTTGCTGAGGGCCGTCCGGACGGCGTCCGAAAGTACGGAAAAATGCGTCCAAAGTACGGAAATATCCGTCCGCCTTGGACCCGTCCGAACCAAAAGGACTTTTTTCCAAAAAACGCACCTTTATTTTCACGTCCGTCCGTCCATCCGTCAAAACTGTTTCAGCAGCTGGCACCAGAAGATCAGGACGATTGGATGTGCTCAAACCCCGTGTATATTTTCGCATAAGTGTCGCAATGTGCAAATGTTTGCCCCCGCAGCTCATTATCAAAAGCAGGCGAAGGTTTTATATTTCGACACGAATTGTGGATCCAAAGCTTTTCAGCCATGAAGTTTTAGTTATGCGCCTGGGTCTGAATGATGTGTGAGGGTGCCTGATCCAACATTACACAGGACAAGAACAAAACGCTCACATGATTTAGCTTAGTAATGCTTAGTGTATATAGCCAGCACTTGCTTGGAAGATAAAAGGCCTTTTTTGTATGAAACGACCCCAAAAAGTATCAAACGTACCCAAAAAAGAGGTGTTTTGCAAACGACCCCAAAAACGAAGGGTAGTGGAGACTTCAGGTCCATACATTTTAAAAGAATAGAACGATATATCGATGCCTTTCGGTCTCCTTTAGACCACGCTCCATTGACATTGTTATAAAGGAGATAATAGATTCATAGACATGGATTCATAGACATGGAACTTCAGGATGCACTGGGCTCTATGACGGGTCAATATAACAACATCTGAATTGCTGCTGCAGGCGCAACTCTCCCGACAGAGCAAGGAGGTTGAAGAGCAAAGACGACGATTGCCAACGCCTCAGTATCCGGGTTTGAAATGGTTTTGGAATGCCTCAAACATATTCAAACATCTTAAGAAGGCAATTTTGAGAATTCTTTGATACACTTTGATGACGCAATCATTTTACATAATCAGAAGCCTATTGAAATTGCCCGGTAGGGGCAACATGGCCTTAGCGAAGGCGAAACCTTTGCCTTGGCCGAGGTCCGACCTTGTGACGAACCTGCAGAATTGCCAGGCACAACCCAGAGGGACCCACGTCGAAGTTGTGAAGTGGAGCACAAAATTGAGCATCCCCAAGTGGGTTGATGTTTGCATGATTTTGCATGAGTTGTTTGGTGACCTAACGTTTGGAGGTGGGCCCAAATCGTCCCTCCTTTCCATCGAACATGAAGCAACCCCCCACAAGAGGACACCCAAAAGCAGGGCTGCGCATTCATAGCGGTCAAGGATTTTTCAACAATCAATGAGTTGGTTTCAGCGAAAATCTACATCCGCCAATCAGTCTTGGGAATCGAAGATGCCCTTCACTTCAATAATCAATTCAGTCCCATCTTGCTGAGGAAGAGGATACGTCAGTCTTGGCTTCTGAGCGTGAACGGCTGCAGGCAAAGGGGATGAACGACGGAGGATTGGGTATCGTGAATGGAGTCAATCCTAAGCCGGTCTGAAAGAGTGACTCACCACTGTTGACTTTGAAGCATCCTTCGGCCGTAAAGGATACTACTGTACCCGAGTCTAATGCTTTGAGACTTTTATTTCAAGGTTTGGGAACTCCATGATAATATATTTTTCGAATTGTTTCGATCTGTTTATATTGATCCCCTGGGGCGTTTTTGGCCGCGCTTTATGCGTATGAAAAATGTAAGATACAGGGGTGTAGGTATGAGCTTGGGAACCCTTTTTTGACAATATTACATTTTTCGCTCCGGTACTGGTAATTATGTTAATTTAATTTATACGTATAAATTTATCTTGGAACGTATATATACCTAATGTACTCTTGAATCATATCAATTTATCTTGGAACACCTACAACATGTAATATTACATTTCCTAGGTTACCTAGGAAATGTAATATTACAATTTCCATTGGTGACACCTAAACATGTAAGACTCTGTAAGACTTACGTTTTTACGTCCTACCCCAAAAAATGTAAGATCACAGTTTTAACCCCCTCAACATTCAAAACATGTAACTTACATTTAAATTTAGGGGTCCTCCCCCCTGCTAAAAGGGTGGGGATTTGGAGCACCGCCTGCCTTGAAACATGTTGAAGTTTGATCCCTTCAAAATCCTCTAAACTTATCTAAACTTCCTACTGTCCTTATTACGACAAGCTTCTTATTGGGCTTGAAGGCGGAGCACCAACGCTTGCTGGAGCTCCAACAAAGCGTTCGCGAGGCTCTCTTGAATCTGTACGCGGATCAAGATGCAAGGGTATTACTGAGATTACTGTGTAACCAGTGCATGCAATTGTCGGACATAGCAACGTTCGCCCATATTGCAGATTGATATTGTATGATATTGTAAATTCAGAAAATTCATATCAAATCTTGACACTTTGCGGCTTTTGGAATGTTGGCCGCACAGAAATCACAGAAATAGCAATCCTGGCCACTAGGCGGATCGAAACAACAAGGAAGCTCTGAAGCATGCTTGGGCTCAGGCCTGTTGGAGCAGTGTCGTTGTCATTGAGCAAATGGTTTGACCTGCAGCATGTTTAGGATGTTTGTGTCTGGATTCCAGGTTTTGAAATGTTTTGCATTGAACACCTACCTGAACAAAAGTGGCTCTGTGAGTCCTCCCCTCCGCAGGCGACATGGATATGCATCCAGAACCATATCCTGACATTTATTTTGAGTCCCATGGTCCCTATCGTCCCAGACGTGCAAGGTGGAAGAGGATCGAAGAGTCCTGCAGCAAGAGCAACTGCGTTTTGACAGTGAGCCTGGAGCCCAACTTGGGCAAAATGGGTGGAGGACGGTGGAGGTTATACTTCGCAGGCTGATATACTGCAGGGGTTGGGGCTCTCGCAGTTGTGCTGTTTTTGTAGTTTCCACAAGTTGACAAGGACATTGGTGTGGCTGGTTGTACGAATATCTACAAAGCATCCCAGACATGAGACTGCTCCGGACTGAGGCAAGCTGCACGCAAAGAAGAGCTGGAAATGCAGGAGAAATTCGATTCAAAAGTTGTGCAGGAGTAGTGCAGCATGCAGCTTGCAGCTATTGTTCAACACAATCCTGTTGAGGAGAGACAGCTCAAGTCCGAGACAGAAAGGTTAAAGACTCTGCATCAGCAAATTGAGGCGCGCAAAAATTGCCAAGCCAGAAGACCCTTTGAACAATGACGACTTAGACATACTTAGACTACTTCAGTTGCAGTGCACTTCAGCGTTCCGCGCAAACTGCTCATGAAGCGTTTTTGGGAAGCCAGTGCCCAGGTCGCCCGGCAGAGCGCCGCGCGGCGCATTCGTGAGACAGAGTCCACGGTGGCGAATGAACGTGCGCGATGCAAGTGGATGGGGCTGTCACATAGAGATGGTCCAGGTGGCTGCAGGTGAGAAAAGACAAGAAATGAAAAGAATGCACCAAAGATTAATCATGATTTTTTGAATCAACATATCTTTATGATTATACATGATAGAGATTATTATATATATATATACGTATATATAATTGCAGGGACTTTGGATTGGAGCCTTTCTCGGCAGTTTCACGCTTCCCAAGCAGTTGTATCAGACTTGGAGATTTTCGCCCTGCAAAGGTCGATGTCTGATGAATGACCTGGAGGCCTTTGAAGAAAAAAAGCGCTTCCACAGCAGTGAGGCCTGGTTGAAGGGTCAGCTTTTCTTAGTGGAGTAGAAATACCAAGGTCAAAACCTTGACCATCCTTGACCTTTTGCGATGATTCCTGGATCAGCCCCTTTGTTCAAGACTGGTTGGTTAAGACTCCATAGCCAAACTCCTGGGCCGAAACAGGCGATGAAGCTGGAAAACGATCGAAGACAATTGCAAGAGGCCAGCACAGGTTCAATCAAAAGCAACAACACATCACGCGCAAACATAAAAACATCTCGATCTGAAACTTAACATTTAGATGGGCAAGTACAAACCATATTCATTTGATTTCATTTGTATAGACCATTCCCACGAAGTTAGGGACGTAGCCTGTTGTCGGTGGCATGATTCTTGCTCATTTTCCTCTCAGGACAAGAGCAACTTCGAGAGTGAATTACACAGCGTTGGTCTCATGGCGCAAGAGCTCGAAAGGTGCCAAAGGGATCCAAAAGGATCTTTTTCATGTCATGGGAGTCACCTAGAGCACTAGCTGGTCGGTCATTTTAAAAGTGGCCAAACACACGTACACAAAGTATCTGCGTGAACAGGGTCGAAAAGCCATGGACTTGCTAGAGAGGTGAATGCAAACTGTGAACATTGGCAGTACACTGTACACAAGACAATTGGGTCCAGGACTTTGGAATTGGGTTGGACATGAGACTAGAAGAGACCTGTGAACAATGATCCATCATGATCCATCTGGATATTCCACCAACTTCTCACAACGAATCAGAAAGATGAACATTTTTCTGGAGGCGTTCTGAAGAGATCCGTGTACTACATGGAGAAGCAGCAGAGGCCCAATGGGAAAACTTCTGAAGTTCAGAAGTTGCTTCGCTCCCAGCATCTCCCAGCTGGAGGCTCGCTCGGAACTACACCTCTTGCGCGGCCAGTTGCAGGAGGAACGCAGTGCTCAAGGAACTGAGATGGAGCGCCTGAGAACGATGTCGGGGGCCCCAACCTCTGGATCCTCTGGGATTCCCAACCCGGTCTTGCCATGAAGTAGGCTTCAAATGATGCAACGCAGACAGTTCTCAGCGTAGTCCAGATAGCCACGTGCTGGTTGGGATCCAATCCTGAATCCTCAGAATTGCACTAGCTTCCGAATCACTGAGGCAGTCGTTGATCGAGCAACAGCGACTTCAACTGCTGCAGACGGAGAACCAGTTGCGACTCCAAGGAGTGGAGGACAGGAGAAAAGGCAAAAACATGCAAAAACCTTCAGAATCCTTTAGAGACCTTTTTAGACATTTTTCAGCATTTTTGGAAGTTAATCCTTTAGACTTTGGACACGTTGTTGGCATTCTTTGGCCAGGACATTGATCTTCAAGTGACTGGGCAGGCGCTGGTGTCAGACGTAGTGCTGAGATTCCGCCCCTATGCCATCCGACATGTTTCACACGTTCTGATGCCTTGTCTTGTGTTGGAACTAGTCGTGTCGTAGACTGTAATGGAGTACTTGATTTCGTACTGCGAAGTCGTAGAGACTTAAACTTGCGCAGAAGATGAACCCAAAGTTTGTCTAAAGTTCGCCTGAAAATTAGTGCATTAGATACAATGCTCAGTCCATGAGATGCCATTGGTTGCATCATGTTCAATGTTGTATCGAATGGACTTTCAGAGATTTGATTGCTAGGGACACTTCCCCAACGATCTGTCTTGCGCTCAGCTTGGAAAAAACAAGGCCATGGGAGGCCTTTCTGCGGACAAAAAACCATACTTGGCCTGCAAAATCTTTGGTGAACTTTCAGTTCCAAAGTGGAATGAAGGTTGGTGACCGGCTGAAACTTTTGGCCGTCGTCCAAAAAAGCATCCCTTTGAGGCCCTCTTTGGGAAATGCACAGGAGGCAACGCTTTGACTGCCCGGGCGATGAGTCTATTCTTAAAGCAGAGTGCTTGCAACATCTATGAATGGATTCCATGTTCCTTCCATCATCCGATCAATTTGCACTATCGATAGTCAATAACATAGTCCATAGTATATATAGCATGGGAAAGACATCACACGGCTATGGCTCGACTTAAAACGAGCGGCCGTGACTTCAACAATTTGCAGCGTTTCCATGCGGACACAGGGCCCCGGCAATGACTTAAGACGAGATGCTACGAGTCAACCCCGTCGCTTGTACTGGCTTGTGCAACGGAGAGCCGCAATAAGCTCATGCATTGGAATGGCTTTGTCGAAAACAGGATATCAACCGGTGTATTGTATCTCTTTAAATCATTTTTTGTTTGGGGTATTTGGACATTATTGGACACTTTTTCAAACCCACGGTGACCGAAGTGATCCGAAGTGGACGGGCCGGGCTTCCAGGCCATGAATCGTGGTGCCCTCAGTATCTATGCTGCTGGAGAAATAGCCTTGAATTTGAAGCACTTCCACTTCCATCAGGGTTGGTAAACGTCCCATCGTGCGGATCCTGCAAAAGATCACCATTGGATGTTGCAAATATTTGGAAATGATATCCCCAAAAAATTGGGTGATGCTGAATGGGGCGCTGAGGTTGGACAACTGACTGGCTCGAGCCGCGGGAGGTCAGCTGCCATTTAGCGACCGCCCTTGGCAACCTGCTCATGATCCACGAAGAGAGTTTTTTTCAACACATAACCTATCATAGAGTGGCTTGCACTTGATGAGTCGAGTGAGAAAGAGCTGCCATTGCCTGATAATGTTTTTTTGGCTTCGGACAGAAGGATCTTTACCTATCTTTACCTGCTAATATTATCTAATATTGATATTTGCCGCCAATAGAAGTTGCTGCAAAGTTTCCTCGAAGAGATCAAGCCCAGGTGTCCGGCCCCATTCCTGGCCCTGCCACGCGACGCCCAGTGCGGAATCACAGAAGCTTGGAATGGGTTGCAGCGGAAAAGGATGGAAAAAGCTACTTCCTGTAGCAGATGTAGCAGTCTAATATCTAATTAAAGGAAATGTGACTCGCACCAGTCAACCAGCAACCATTTGCAGCTCATCCATTATTGTGGTGCCAAATTCTTCATTCTTTAATTTTTGGAGAAATAACGATGTACTTTTCAATTTTGAACTGGACCAACTCGGACAAGCTACGATCCGTGCCTTTGATTCACTGTCATTCACCAATAGTATCCAATAGTGATGATAACAATTCTTCATTTCCTTTTGCATCCTCGGGTGGACAGTTGCAAGAAGCAGACCGCCTCCTGAAACATCCCGAAACCACTTCCTTGTATATGAATGTTCAGGCCTTTGGCAAAGTCAGAAGTTAGTCACTTCCCAGCAGTGCTCTTTGAGAGTCCCTTCGGACAAAAACAGGGTTCACAGTCTGACAGGGCTGATACAATTCTTATATTTGGCTGAGGGCTACCTCAACATGTTTTTTGCCATCGGTCACTTGCAGTCACTTGCACAGCACCAAAGCTGAGGCAACGATTTCGTCTCTCGGAGGCCCAAACGTGGGCAAGGAATTTGGTCCTAGATCCCCCAAATTTTGTTGCTTGTTTTCTGGCAGAGAGTGGGGTTTTGATCCTCTTCTCAGTCAGAGCAGGCAAATAGGATTTCACCGATCTTGAACTACCCCATGCTCAAGATTTTGCTGTCCATCACTTGCCTGATTATTTGATGCTGACTGCTTTACTAGCTGATGAACAAAAATATAAATTTTATCACCTTCATGTGACATGGCAGCTTGGTGCAGGATGCCTCCAGATGTGTCACCAAGCTGCTTTGGTTTCCTGATCTCAGGCAGTGATTTCCAGATCCGTTCCAAGTGTGGCAGCCAAGTCAGCGCAATTTGATGAGAAATGTCATAACCATCATAACCCAACAGATTGCAGGTCCTTCAAACTTCCGCATCTGAACAGATTCAACAAATTTCTGGCAGTCACATCAGAAAACACATTTGAGATGCTTGAATGTGCTGTTCTTTACTCACAACCATATAAAATCATATAAAACAACTCTTTTTGTAGATGAACCAGGACCCCAAAGTTGGCAGCCGCTCTTCCCAGTCCCCTGGATTTCCATGCGGTGAGGCTGCAGCGCTCACGCAAGGGCTCCGGAGAGATGCAAACATATCTGCTGCAGAGCGCTGCCTTTCTTCAAGAGGCAGGTGACCCCTGACATCCCTGACCTGGGGGAATAAATCATCACAGGCTGACTGGCTGACCCCATATGACCCCTCACTGTTTCCAAAGCTGGGACGCATCACATCTTCAACCTGTTGACAAGGATCTGTTTGGTTCCAGGCGCAGCGAGCACCACCAGCGATCCAGGCAAGGTGGGTGGAACTACTCAGAGTCTCAAGCTTTCATCGATGGGGCGTAGGCATCATTACTGACCCCCAAATTCGGATGATTTACGAACGACACATTTTAAACCCACCAGAATTATGGGTTTATTTAAGGGCTGCCGCCCCTGCCGCCGACCCCGGAAGAATGGTCAACTAACCAGTTTGTTTTCCGATTCTGTTGATTCTGCGCTACCGCGGTACGACCATTTATAAGCGGTTTCTCGATATTCAGAGTTCTCAGCCTGCCGGGGGGCCCAAGGGATCGCAAGGAATCCCACGGCAAATTCGAACAGCAGGGTGCAATGGTTTGGATCCCTACTGTACTTAATTACATCTTAAGAATCTTATATAATACTGAATTCTTGTTGTTTTCTTTCATTTTATGATATTTCTTAGGTACGGATTCTTTTTTATTAAATCCCAAAGTGAAAGAGTGGACGCCTGCTGAAATATTCAGGATCGGCAATGTCAGCTAGTTAATAGCTGGACAGTCCATCAATTCCAATTTGGTTCCAATACTTGCAATATCAAAATCTATCAAATTGTTGTTTTGGGGGTATCATCTTCCATTTTGAGACACATGCACCCCATTTCTTTTTTTTTGGTGTGTGTGTAATCATCATTGGGTTTCTTTGCACCAATGGAACGGATGTAAAATGGTGAGATTTTCCAGAGCCAAGGTGGCAGCCAACCTTTTGGGTTTCCATAAATGGAGGATCCCCAATACTAGTAGCATCAATAGCTGAATGGTCTTTTCATGGAGAATCCCAATCTAAAGTGTTTTTTTCCAATGGGGTACCCTCATTTACGGAAACCACCATGTTTTTTTTGAATGAGGGTTGGTCATGGCGAAATCGAAATCCGTAGGGCTGATCATCGAAAAGGATGATTTGAGCCACTTTTTCCTCCTTCTGCTGCTGCTGCTCCTGCTCCTGCTGCTCCCTCTGTTCAAATGGCAGCTCCCGGATGGGAAAACACCATGGCAGCGAAGGACGGAAAGGCATCAAAATTGCGCGCAAAAAGTGCCTAATGTAACTTCTGAAACCCATAGAAAACGATGATTTTCGCTACTTTGTCCTACGCACGATTGCTGCTGCTGGGAAAACACCATGGCAGCGAGGGACGGAAAGGCAGCAAAATTGCGCCCAAAAAGTGCTTAATGTAATTTCTGAAACCTATAGAAAAGGATGATTTTCGCTACTTTTTCCTCCGCGCTATTGCTGCTGCTGGAAAACACCATGGCAGTGAAGGACGGAAAGGCAGCAAAATTGCGCGCAAAAAGTGCCTAATGTAACTTCTGAAACCCATAGAAAACGATGATTTTCGCTACTTTGTCCTACGCACGATTGCTGCTGCTGGGAAAACACCATGGCAGGGAGGGACGGAAAGGCAGCAAAATTGAGCCAAAAAGTGCTTAATGTAATTTCTGAAACCTATAGAAAAGGATGATTTTCGCACTTTTTCCTCCGCGCTATTGCTGCTGCTGGAAAACACCATGGCAGTGAAGACGGAAAGGCACAAAATTGAGCACAAAAAGTGCTAGATTAATGTAACTTCTGCTAGAAAAGGATGATTTTAGCTACCTTTTCCTCCTGCTGCTGCTCCTGCTCCTGCTGCTCCCTCTGTTCAAATGGCAGCTCCCGGATGGGAAAACACCATGGCAGTGAAGGACGGAAAGGCAGCAAAATTGCGCCCAAAAAGTGCTTAATGTAACTTCTGAAACCAATCGAAAAGAATGATTTTAGCAATTTTGTCCTCTTCCTGCTGCTGCTGCTTCTGCTCCTGCTGCTCCTTCTGTTCAAATGGCAGCTCCCGCATGGGAAAACACCATGGCAGTGAAGGACGGAAAGGCAGCAAAATTGCGCCCAAAAAAGTGCCCAATGTAATTTCTGAAACCCAAAGAAAAGGATGATTTTAGCTACCTTTTCCCTCCTCCTGCTGCTGCTGCTCCTGCTGCTGCTGCTCCCTCTGTCCAAATGCTAGCTCCCGGATGGGAAAACCTGCTGCTCCTTCTGTTCAAATGGCAGCTCCCGGATGGGAAAACACCATGGCAGTGAAGGACGGAAAGGCAGCAAAATTGCGCCCAAACAGTGCCTAATGTAACTTCTGAAACCCATAGAAAAGGATGATTTTAGCTTCCTTTTCCTCCTGCTGCTGCTCCTGCTCCTGCTGCTCCTTCTGTTCAAATGGCAGCTCCCGGATGGGAAAACACCATGGCAGTGAAGGACGGAAAGGCAGCAAAATTGAGCCCAAAAAGTGCCTAATGTAACTTCTGAAACCCATAATAGAAAAGGATAATTTTAGCCACTTTTTCCTCCTCCTGCTGCTGCTTCTGCTCCTGCTGCTCCTTCTGTTCAAACGGCAGCTCCCGGATGGGAAAACACCATGGCAGGGAAGGACGGAAAGGCAGCAAAACTTCGCCCAAAAAGTGCTTAATGTAACTTCTGAAACCAATCGAAAAGAATGATTTTAGCAATTTTTTCCTCCTGCTGCTGCTGCTGCTTCTGCTCCTGCTGCTCCTTCTGTTCAAATGGCAGCTCCCGGATGGGAAAACACCATGGCAGTGAAGGACGGAAAGGCATCAGAGTTGCGCCCAAAAAAGTGCTTAATGTAACTTCTGGAACCCATAGAAAAGGATGATGTTCGCTACTTTTTCCTCCGCGCTGCTGCTGCTGCTCCTGCTCCTGCTGCTCCTTCTGTTCAAATGGCAGCTCCCGGATGGGAAAACACCATGGCAGTGAAGGACGGAAAGGCAGCAAAATTGCGCCCAAAAAGTGCCTAATGTAACTTCTGAAACCCATAGAAAAGAATGATTTTAGCTACCTTTTCCTCCTGCTGCTGCTCCTGCTCCTGCTGCTCCTTCTGTTCAAATCGCAGCTCCCGGATGGGAAAGCACCATGGCAGTGAAGGACGGAAAGGCAGCAAAATTGCGCCCAAAAAGTGCTTAATGTAACTTCTGAAACCAATCGAAAAGAATGATTTTAGCATTTTTTTTCTCTTCCTGCTGCTGCTGCTGTTTTGCTCTTGTTTCTTTTTGTTCAAATGGCAGCTCCCGCATGGGAAAACACTATGGCAGTGAAGGACGGAAAGGCATCAGAATTGCGCCCAAAAAAGTGCCTAATGTAATTTCTGAAACCCATAGAAAAGGATGATTTTAGCTACCTTTTCCCTCCTCCTGCTGCTGCTGCTGCTCCTGCTCCTGCTGCTCCCTCTGTTCAAATGGCAGCTCCCGGATGGGAAAACTTGCTGCTCCTTCTGTTCAAATGGCAGCTCCCGGATGGGAAACACCATGGCAGTGAAGGACGGAAAGGCAGCAAAATTGAGCCCAAAAAGTGCCTAATGTAACTTCTGAAACCCATAGAAAAGGACGATTTTAGCCACTTTTTCCTCCTGCTGCTGCTGCTGCTTCTGCTCCTGCTGCTCCTTCTGTTCAAACGGCAGCTCCCGGATGGGAAAACACCATGGCAGGGAAGAACGGAAAGGCAGCAAAACTTCGCCCAAAAAGTGCTTAATGTAACTTCTGAAACCAATCGAAAAGAATGATTTTAGCAATTTTTTCCTCCTCCTGCTGCTGCTGCTTCTGCTCCTGCTGCTCCTTCTGTTCAAATGGCAGCTCCCGGATGGGAAAACACCATGGCAGTGAAGGACGGAAAGGCAGCCAAATTGCACCCAAAAAGTGCCTAATGTAACTTCTGAAACCCATAGAAAAGGATGATTTTAGTCTACATTTTCCTCCTGCTGCTGCTCCTGCTCCTGCTGCTCCTTCTGTTCAAATGGCAGCTCCCGGATGGGAAAACACCATGGCAGTGAAGGACGGAAAGGCATCAGAATTGCGCCCAAAAAAGTGTCTAATGTAACTTCTGAAACCCATAGAAAAGGATGATTTTAGCAACTGTTTCCTCCTGCTGCTGCTGCTTCTGCCCCTGCTGCTCCTTCTGTTCAAATGGCAGCTCCGGATGGGAAAACACCATGGCAGTGAAGGACGGAAAGGCAGCAAATTTGCGCCCAAAAAAGTGCCTAATGTAACTTCTGAGACCCATAGAAAAGGATGCCTTTAGCTACCTTTTCCCTCCTCCTGCTGCTGCTGCTCCTGCTCCTGCTGCTCCCTCTGTTCAAACGGCAGCCCCCGGATGGGAAAACACCATGGCAGTGAAGGACGGAAAGGCAGCAAAATTGCGCCCAAAAAGTGCCTAATGTAACTTCTGGAACCCATAGAAAAGGATGATTTTCACTACTTTTTCCCTTCTCCTAGTGCTGCTGCTGCTCCTGCTCCTGCTGCTCCCTCTGTTCAAATGCTAGCTCGCGGATGGGAAAACCTGCTGCTCCTTCTGTTGAAACGGCAGCTCCCGGATGGGAAAACACCATGGCAGTGGAGGACGGAAAGGCAGCAAAATTGCGCCCAAAAAGTGCCTAATGTAACTTCTGAAACCCATAGAAAAGGATATTTTAGCTGCCTTTTCCTCCTGCTGCTGCTCCTGCTCCTGCTGCTCCTTCTGTTCAAATGGCAGCTCCCGGATGGGAAAACACCATGGCAGCGAAGGATGGCTTTTTCAATTTCCGCTTTTTCAATCTTCCATCAGCTCACCTGCTGCTGCTGCTGCTAACAGAAGAGTAGCAAGAGCACCTCCCGGCACCAAAACAGCAAGGCACGGAAGGACGAACAGGCTACAGAATCGCACCGAAAAAGTACCTAACCTCTCTTCTGATTTCCGAGAAAAAAATCTTTTTCCCAACCTTTTCCGCTTTTTCAATCCCATCAGCCCACCTGCTGCTGCTCCTGCTGCTGCTGCTAACAGAAGAGTAGCAAGAGCACCTCCCGGAACCAAAACAGCAAGGCACGGAAAGACAAACAGGCCTTAGAATCGCACCGAAAAACTGCCTAACGTCCCTTCTGAATTTCTAGAAAAAATGTCTTTTTCCCAACCTTTTCCGCTTTTGAAATTTCCGCTTTTTCAATCTTCCATCAGCTCACCTGCTGCTGCTGGCTGCTTTTGCTGCTGCTGCTGCTGCTGCTAGCAAGAGCACCTCCCGGCACCAAAACAGCAAGGCACGGAAGGACAAACAGGCCATAGAATCGCTCCGAAAAATTGCTTAACGTCCCTTCTGAATTCCTAGAAAAAATGTCTTTTTCCCAACTTTTTCCGCTCTTTCAATCTT